ACCAATAACATAAACAGTTGACTAACACAGTTCTTGTAGTACAGTTATTAAATTTTTCACACAAAGACACTCACACACACACACAACAGATAAGTTTATTAACTGTACATCATGATGATTATTTACTATTCATTAAGTAGAAGTGGATCATCACAAAGGTCTTCATCCTTGTGTCTTCAGGTTGAGTTGGCTGAGGAGGAGGAAAAGGAAGAGGAAGGGCTGGTTGTACTGTCTCAGGAGTGACAGAGGCAGAAGAGGTGGAGGAGGTGGAAGGGGAGGCAGGAGAGGCAGGCACACTCAGTGTAACTTTATGGAAATACGTCATAATTTCTGTCCGACTTTTTGGTTTTACATTTCTCTGAAAGTGTTCCTATATAATACCAATCCTTCTTCCACCATTTGCTTTAATTTCAGTGCCCATATCATAGAAGGGTCCATGTTGTAAAAGATGCCAAAAGCAGTTTTGACTAACTGGAACCCTTCTGCCAGACTGTCTAATGTCAGTTTGTTTCCTGGCACTGCTTCTTCTCCATCTTCTTCCTCACCTTCTGCCACTGGTTCAGAAATGCCCAGCTCCATCAAGTCATCTTCTGTTCATCCCTTTGGTGTAGTGTCTACTAGTTCTTGAATTTCTCCAAGATCCAAATCTTGAAAAAAATCTACATATCAATGGATCTGCACAGTTCAAACTCGTGTTGTTCAAGGATCAAGTGTATATACAAAATCCACTGCCGTGGAGTTGGATCTGACTCATAGTGACCCCTCCTTGGATTTCCCAGGCGATATCTCTACTGAAGTAGATTGCCCAACCTTCCTTCCGAGGAGTAGCTGGTGGGTTTGAACCACCAGCCTTCTGGTTAGCAGTCAAATGCCTTAGGCACTATGCCACCAGAGCTCCTAAACCAAACTCACTGCCCTCAAGTGGAACCCAACTCATAGCGAACCCTCCTTGGGTTTCCGAGGCAGTATCACTACAGAAATAGATTGCCCAACCTTCCTTCTGAGGAGTGGCTGGTGAGTTTGAACCATCAGCCTTCTGGTTAGCAGTCAAGTGCCCTAGGCACTATACTACCAGAGCTCCTCAGACCCTGGAAATCTTAAATAATTGGAGCACTGGTTTCCTTGGTAATGACAGGCTACCCAACTTCCTATTAAATATACATGTGGTGTTCTTTCCCTCCTCCCTAGAGATATTATTTGTATTAGATTTGTATCCAAGGATTGACTACTTCATTTTTACTTATTAATTATGTTGTTATTGTTAGGTGCCATCTAGTTGGTTCTGACTTATAGTGTCCCTATGTACAACAGAACAAAACACTTCCACACAAGGTCCTGCACCATACTCACAATCGTGGCTACGCTGAAGCCTGTCCTGTGTTGATAATCCACCTTGTTGAGGGTCTTCCTCTTTTTCACTGACCCTCTACTTTACTAAGCATGATGTTCTTCTCCAGGGACTGGTCTCTCCTGATTACATGTCCGATGTACATGAGACATGAGATGAAGTCTCACCATCCTGCCTTCTAAGAAGCATTCTGGCTATACTTCTTCCAAGGCAGATTTGTTTGTTCTTCTGGCAGTCAGTGGTATATTCAATATTCTTCATCATCAGCATACTTCAAATGCATCAATCCTTCAGTCTTCCTTATTAATTGTACAGCTTTTGCATGCATATGAGGCAATTGAAAACACCAAGGCTTAAGTCAGGAATACCTTAGTCCTCAAAGTGATATCTTTGCTTTTTAACACTTTCGAGAGGTCTTTTGCAGCAGATTTGCCCAATGTAAAAACCTTAGATTTTTCAAAAGCCATGAGGCTTGGTTTTCAACAAGAACTCAGGAGTTTATTTTACTGGGGCACAGACTGTTTTGCCTTCTTGGGCAGATTACACAGAAAATAAAATTAACCCTTCAATCTAGTAAAAAAAAAAAAAAAAGTCATTTTAACAGAGAGAAACCCAATTTCTTATATACTCTGATACTAAAGCTCTTTAAAAAATATCATAAATTAACCTGTCAAACTTTGGCCATGACAGATAAAACTTTAAATAAACCTTTTAGCTTTTTGTCTTTTTCACATAGCTCTTGTAGTACAACCTTTTGAAGTGGCGAAAATTAACATGTTTATTAACAGACCCAAATACACATTCTTTATATGGCATATAAAAGCAAAATATATATAAACTTAACCCAATTTAGTTGCAGAAATTATTTTTATCTGGTGGCATAGTGCCTAAGGCATTTGATTACTAACCAGAAGGCTGGCAGTTCAAACCCACCAGCCACTCCTTGGAAGGAAGACTGGGCAATCTACTTCTGTTGAGAGATGGCCTTGGAAACCCAAGGAGGGGTCGCTATGAGTCAAATCAACTCAATGGCAGTGAGTCTGTTTTTTTTTTTTTTTAATATGCTGCCACAAAACATAATTACTGATGAAACAAACATCAATTAAACATTCTAAATATTTAATTTTTATCTTTTTTTAAAATCAATCATTGCCCATAGTTTTTCAATCTTCCCTTAGCCGTTTTAAGATTTTCCGAACTTTTCTTGGAAACACTAGTCTCTTCTCCCTCAATGTTACTCATTGATATGCATGTGGCCTTAAGAGTCTGGCAAGGGTAGAACAGAGAACCTACTTGTTCATCCATATCTATGTTCAACATTTCCCTATTTTAGGTGCATTTTCATTGTGATTGTTATCTTTAGGCCTTAAATAATTTCTCAACAATAGAGATGCCTTATTTATGGTTCTTTAATGTTTAATGTTTTAAAAGTGTTAAAGGACAAAGATGTCATTTTGAAGACTAAGGTGTGCCTGACCCAGGCCCATGGTATTTTCAATCACTTCATATGCATGTAAAACTAGACAATGAATAAGGAAGACTGAAGAAGAATCAATGCCTTTAGATTACAGTATTGGTAACCCTATGAGGCAGTTCTTTCTATTCTGTCCTATAGGGTCCCTATGAATCTGAATTGAGTAGATGAGAAGTGGGTTTGTATTTGTTTTTTTACCTTGTTGGGAGGGTACCCTAGACTCTTTCTTTTGTCTTTATAGTTTAGTTTTCTTTCTTCAGCAAAACTTATTCTTTAACAGTTTTATCGATAAACATTTCAAATCTTAACTAACCTTTTATCTAACCTTCTTTTAACTTCTTTCTAACTTTCTATATGGTGTCTACATTTTATCTCATGCTTCCCTTTTTGCATAATGTTTTTACTTTAATGCAAAATTAGTCTTTTTCTCTAATCAAAACACATCCAGCGTACTTAACCTAGCCTAAGTTACTTGAATAGATTTTGGAAACTGCTTTTAAGTCAACATACTACAAAACATGAACACTTTTATCAGAACAAATTCACTTTCATTCATTCCTGGAAATATTGAATTTATATAAGCACTTATTTATCACTAAACCAATCAGGATAAAGCTCTTTGAAGAAGTATTGTGATTTGACTTAATAATACCATCCAGAGGTAGGAAATACTACATTTTCATAACCTCCTCCTGCCCTGACCCTCACAGGCTCCGTTACCTCTCCTCTGCTCTATTTCCAGCCTAGGCTCTCCTTTCCACCACTCTTCCCCATCTCCCCTGAACAAGCTCTAGTCTGACTCCCCCTTTACTCTGCTCTAGCCACGGACCATGGGAACCATCCTTACTGACACCACTACCACTCCACTATCACCATGGAGTCCATCTCTAGGCCCAGTAACACCCTTTCCTGTTTGAAATGACCCTTCTGTTGGCTTCTGGGAAGGGTCCTCCTGCTCCACCTGTCTGTTCAGTCTCACTCTCCTTTTCTGATTCCTTTTCCTCCACCTGTCTCCCCAAATGTCAGTGGTCCCCAGAGATTTGCCTCCACTCCCTCTTCTTTTTGTCTCAGATAGGAAATAATGTTCATATTTTCATCTTTGGCCCTATCATGATCCTGAGTCCCAGACCCTCTATATCCAATTCCCTCCTGGACAACTCCTCAAGGATGACCCACAGCCCCCATGACTCCATGGGGCCTGAACCAAACTCCTTCTGACCTGCTCTGCCATCCATCCACCTGGCATTATTCTGTTCTCCCATCCATCCACCTGGCATTATTCTGTTCTCCCATCCATCCACCTGGCATTATTCTAGACTCTTTCCCACACTCTTCCGGTCAAATCAATCATCAAGGACTTCACTGTGAACCAAAGGCCTTATGCACATTACAGGTGATTATTGGTTTCATTTAAACTTGAGGGTCCTGGGACAGGGACACTATCTAACCTTTTCCCCACAATGGAGCCCTTGGGACATCCTCTGCTTAAGGTGGTGACTCAACCCCTTCCTTCCTGATGGACTCAGTGCCCCAGAAGTGTCCTGAAGGAACCAGGCTTGCTGCCAGGCCTATCAACATCAATCTCAGAAAGATAATCTATCACAATCTTGGATGGTAGTTAAATTCCTGTCCCATGGGTAGATTTAATTTGTCCTTGTCATCAACCTTTGCCTGGCCTATGGAACTCTCTAGGGCAGGGCAAAAAGCCTTAGCATTGAAAGAGGAAAGGATGTTAGAGATAACCCAATCTAGCCATTTCCTTTTACATAAGGTGGAAGACACTTGCTCGACATTTCAAGCAAAGCCAGGCAGAACTGGGACTAGATCCCTGGTCTCCTGACTCTCAGGCAGGGGTAAATAGGTGGTGGTGGTGAGGGTTCTGTCCAACACTCTCTGCTGCCTCTTACTGTGCTCAAAGGTCATCTCGGAGGGTGGCAGGATTTTCTGCTTGACTTGTTAAAAGCCTGGGAGGGTGAGGGCAGGAAGAGGAGGGAGGGAGGAGGGGCCTCAGGAGACATCTCCAGGACTGAGACATTCCAGGGCTGCAGGAGCTGGCCAGGCCTGGGGGAGAACGTAGTGCTGTGGGGGCTTCCCCCTCCCACCCTATCCCAGCTTCAGAGAGCCTCAGGGGACCCTGAGTCATAAGGAGGTGGGGGACATTCCCTAGAAAGGGGCATCATGGCCTGCAGGAAGAGGTGCTCAGATACTCAGACCAAGTGGGCAATTGCCGGCAGTTGCAGTGTGGCTCTGATGTTCACCATTGGGATAGTCCTGAGCTTCACCCTACAGAGGCAGATGCAGCCAGGTAGGAGTCGCTCATTCCTCATCCCCTCAAGACTTCTCCAACCACAGCTTTGATTGGTTCTTCTCCTGTCCCTTGTCCCCTTTGGCTTTCTTTTCCCTCCTCCTTCACCAAGCTGCAGTTACCTGCAGACCACTGAATCCTGGGCTTTAGCCCACACCTTTCTCCTGTGCCCTCCGTTGGATGTTCCTTCCTGAGGGTCTTGCAAGCATCTCAGACTCCACATACTGAGAGCTGAACTCGTCCTCTCCCTCCATACCTGCTCTTCCCTGCACCCAGCGAAGGGAACACCACTCCCAGGAAACTAGGTGTCACCTCAGCCCCTCCCCCTCCCTCTTCTCTGTCTCCTCTAAGCCTAGAGGGTCCTGCCTCTGTCTTCCTTGTGCCTTCCTATGCCCTACACTCCATCCCACACAGCAGTTAAGTGCTCAGCTGCTAACCAAAGAGTTGGCAGTTAAACCTACCAGCCTCTTCACAGGAGAAAGATATGGCAGTCTATTTCCATAAAGATTATAATCTTAGAACTCTATGGGACAGTTCTACTCTGTCCTATTGGGTCGATGAGTTGGAATCTAATTGACAGTACACAATATTTCATTCCTAGTAGCCCTGCCCCAATCACTCAGGCCTCTGAGTCTCTCTGGGACCCCTACAGTGGCATCCTCCCTCCATGAAGACTCCCTGCCTCCTCCCTGTTCTCTCCAGCCCATGCTCACTCTGCATACTCCCCACTTGCTGCCTTGGCACACAGCCCACACGTCTGATCAGAAGCCTCTCTTCCAATCTTGCCCCATCCCATCTCTCTGCATTCCATCTGTCCCAGGACAATGGCCACTCCTTTAAGCAACCACACTTTTTCAAACCCCCAAGCTTCTACTTATGCTGTTCTCACTGTCTGAAATAATCTATTTCCTCTTTCTGTCAAATTTACACCCAATTCTCAAGGCCCCGCTTCAGCGATTCCTTCTCTGAACTTGTTCCCCTTCTTGGCTGCCCCAGGCCAGAAAGCCTTCATAGACCACTATTTCCCTCTCAAAGCACTAATGATACAGGTTTCACTGTCTCTGCTACTTTGCATGCTGGGCACACAGTGGGAGTTCAGGGAGAATAGGCGGGATGAATACATTGGGGTCCTGAGGCAGGGACCAAAGTGAACATCCTTCTTGGCCTTCATTTCCAGGCTGTGAGCCAGACACAGCCTGCCGCCCCGACGCAGACATGCTGGACTATCTTCTGAGCCTGGGTCAGATCAGACTCCGGGACGGCCTGCTGGTCAGCTGGTACCATGCTGCCAACAGCCAGGAGGAGATGAGGGCTGCCCTAAAAAGTAAGTCTAACTACCAGGACAGGGACAGGCAGGGTGGGGGGTGGAGGAGATGGAAGGAGAGCAGAGACTAGGATAAGACAACACTGTAGTTATAGAGAAGTTCTTGAGGGGTGGCATTGTTGTCATGTGCCATCAAGGCAATTCTGACTTATAGCAGTCCTAGAGGACAGAATAGAACTGCCCACGGGGTTTCCTAGCCTAATCTTTATGGGAGCAAATTGATAGGTCTTTTCTCCCCTGGGAACAGCCCGTGGGTTTGAACTGCCAACCTTTCAGTTAGCAGTGGCTGGTGCACTTAACCATTGGGCCAGCAGGGCTGCCTATGAGATGGCATTATGATGGGTGATTTGCATGTTCTTTTCATACTCTCCATGAGAAAATGGAGGCTCATAGAGGTTAAGCAATTAGCTCAAGATTGAGCAGCTGATTAGCTCTGAGCTCAGAATTTGAACGAAGATGTATGATTCCAAAGGCATCAGTGTACTCTCTTCCCTTCCAACTACACCTCCCAGGAGCTATTAGGTAACTAGTGTCCCTGCTATGGAGGCCTTTGCCCTCAAAGTCTAAGGAAAGCAGAAAACCTAAGTTCAGGCCCAACACTAACAAAGCTGAGCTGTGGGCACCTGAGCAAACTGTGTAACTCTTCTGAGACTTGGATTCAAAATTATTGTGGCAACCAGTCGGTCAACACTCACTATGTGGGACATACTCCACACTCATTGCACTGGGTTCTCCTGTGATTACCATGCAACCCAGTTCATAGAAGAAAAACTGAGACTCAGAGAAGTTAGGTGACTTACCCAAGGTGACACTGTTTGAAGGTGATTAAACCAAGACATGAGCCCAGAGCTGTTAGAACAAAGTTTCTTTGAAACTACGTTATGCTTGACCTCTAGTTAAAGGGCAAAAAAGTCTCTCCTTCAGGGCTGTTGTGAAGCTCAAACAAATAGTGTTTGTGGAAGTGTTTGTAAGCTATAAAACCGTAACTATGCAAGATGACAATGTTTCACTGCTATCTGTAAGGTTTTCATAAGGTGGCCGTGATGATGGGCTCAAGCATAGCAAAGGTTGTGAGGATGGCACAGGACCGAGCAGTGTTCATTCTGTTATACATGGGGTTGCTATTGTTGTTGTTGTTATGTGCCGTCGAGTCAGCCCTGACTCATAGCCACCCCTCCTTGGGTTTCCGAGGCAGTATCACTACAGAAGTAGGATTGCCCAACTTTCCTTCCGAGGAGTGGCTGGTGGGTTTGAACCGCCAGCCTTCTGGTGAGCAGGCAAGTGTCTTAGCCACTATGCTACCAGAGCTCCCGGGGTTGCTATTAGTCGGAGCCAATTGGACAGGACCTAACAAAAACAACTCTGGTAGCATAGTGCCTAAGTCACTTGACTGCTAACCAGAAGGCTGGAGGTTCAAACCCACCAGCGACTCCTCAGAAGGAAGGTTGGGTAATTTACTTCCCTAGTGTTACCACCTGGGAAACCCAAGGAGGGGCTTCTATGAGTCGAGTCCCACTCGACGGCACATAAAACAACAACATGAAAGATGAAAGGAACAGCTTTCACACTTGCTCTTGCATAGAATCAGACCCCATCCTTAGTGGTTCTAGGGTACACCAGAGAATTTGCATTTCTAACAAGTTCCCAGGTGATGGTGAGCCTGCTGGCCCCAGGACCACATTTTGAGAACCTCTGCTCAAACAGAATCCCCTTAATTTCAGATGACAAAATGGGTGCAGAGTGAGAGAGGATCTTGTTCATGGTCACACTTTCATGGTCACACTGTAGGTATGAAGCAGGTCAAGGTTGTCTTAGTGCCAAGCCTCTGGCTTTTACTCTTATAGGTTCCCAAGGAGGAAGGCCCCAGAGTAAGTGCCTGTAAAAAGTTTGTTAAATGAATGAAGGGATAGTTAGTGGGGACTTCCTGGAGTAAGCAGGCTTGGTGGACAGCACAGGAGAGGCAGGCTGGGTGGGACTAGCTTATCTGCTACTCAGGCATTTCCTCTGGTTGGGAGACTGATTGACCAACTTTGGTAATAAGGACGGAGCACTGTCACCTTAGGGAATTAGGCCAGACAAGAAGGATGCTTATCTGGGGAGATAAAGCCTGAGGACTCACCACCCTCAAGCTCATCCTGAGATCAGCCCTAGGGCAGCAGAGGAGCAACTGGGCCTTATCAAGTTGGGACTTTGGCCAAGAAGAAAGCCAAGGGCCCTATACCCAACTGTGTAGTGCCTGACAGCCGGAGTGGAGAGAGTCACCCCTTATCATAACTCCAGGGATCCAGAGAGGACCCCAACCCTACTGATTAGAACCTGCACTTTGAACAGGTCCCTGAGCAACTTGTGTGTACATTAAAGTTTGAGAAACTGTAGTGGCTGAAACCTAGAAAGAGATGCAAAATGAGATTGGAAACTTTGTCAGGGTCTGACCATGTGAAGACTATGTAAGGAGTTTAGAGTTGATTCTCAGGGCAATGAGTGTTTTTTTAAAACAGGAGAATGTGTAGAGAATTAAATTGGAGGGACTTAGGACAGAGGTGAGAACATTCAGAGGGCTGTGAGTGGAAACCATGTGGGTGGAAAGGTCTCCTCTAATGCTATCTGTCAACAACAACTTGTCTGTCAGTTTTTCCTACTGTGGTAGCTTGCATGTTGCTGTGAGACTGGAGGCTGTGCCACTGGTGTTTCAAATACCAGCAGGGTCACCCATGGTGGACAGGTTTCAGTGGATCTTCCAGACTAATACAGACAGGGAAGAAGGAAGGGGCCATCAATTGCTCAAAGAATTGGCCAGTGAAAACCTTATGAATAGCAGTGAAACACATCTGATATATTACTGGAAAACATTATGAGTAGTCCTGAAACATTGTCTGATATAGTGCCAGAAGATGAGCCCCTCAGGTCTGAAGGCACTCAAATATGACTGGGGAAGAGCTGCCTTCTCAAAGTATAATCGACTTTAAGGATGTGGATGGAGTAAAGCTTTCAGAACTTCCATTTGCTGATGTGGCATGACTCAAAATGAGAAGAAACAGCTGCAAATAATCCATTAATAATTGGAATGTGGAATGTATGAAGTATGAATTTAGGAAAATTGGAATTTGTCAAAAATGAAATGGAACACATAAAGATCTATATCCTAGGCTTTAGTGAGTTAAAATGGACTGTTTGGGGCCATTTTGAATCAGATCTACTATGCCAGGAATGAGAAATTTAAGAGGAGTGGCATGCCATTCATCTCCACAAAGAATGTTTCAAGATCTGTCCTGAAGTACAGTGCTGTCAGTGATAGGATAATATCTATATGCCTACAAAGAAAACCAATTACTACTACTATTACTGAAATTTACACACCAACCACCAAAGCCAAAGACAAGAAAATTGAAGATTTCTACCAACTTCTGCTCTCTGAAATTGACCAAACATGCAATCAAGATGTGTTAATTATTTCTGGTGATTGGAATGTAAAAGTTGGAAACAAAGAAGAATCGCTGGTAGTTAGAAAATATGGCCTTGGTGATAGAAATGATGCTGGAGGTCACATGATAGAATTTTGCAAGACCAAAGACTTATTCATTGCAAATACCTTTTTTCAACAACACAAACAGCATCTATACATATGGACTTTGCCAGATGGAGTACACAAGAATCAATTGACTACATCTATGGAAAGAGGCAACAGAGAAGCTCAATAACTACAACCTAAACAAGGCCAGGAGCTGATTATGGAACAGACCATCAACTAACTGCTCATATGCAAGTTCAACTTGAAGTTGAAGACAATTAAAGCAAGTCCATGAGAGCCAAAATGTGACCTTGAATATATCCCTCCTGAATTTAGAGACCATCTAAAGAATAGATTTGATGCATTGAACACCAGTGACCGAAAACCTGAGAAATTGTGGGATGACATCAAGAGCATCATCCATGAAGAAAGCAAGAGGTCATTAAAAATATGAGAAAGAAAGAAAAGACAAAAATGGATGTCAGAAGATACTCTGAAACTAGCCCTTGAGCAAAGAGTAGCTAAAGCAAATGGAAGAAATGACAAGACAAAAGAATTGAACCTAAGATTTCAAAGAGCAGCTCGAGCAGACAAAGTCAATTATTATAATGAAATGTGCAAAGACCTGGAGTTAGAAAACCAAAAGGAAGAACACACTTGGCATTTCTCAAGTTGAAAGAACGGAAGAAAAAAATTCAAGCCTCGAGTTGCAATATATTTGAAGATTCTATGGGCAAAATATTGAATCATGTAGTAAACATCAAAAGAAGATGGAAGGAATACACAGAGTCACTGTACCAAAAAGAATTGGTCAATGTTCATCCATTTCAGGAGGTAGAATATGATTTAAAAAACCAATAGTATTGACTATTTAGGGGGTCACATGTTGATTTGGGTGGAGGGGAAGAAAGTATGGAAAGAGTCTATGACCAGCATTGTGACGCTAGGGAAAGGAAAAACACTGAAATCTACACAAAAGATGTAGACAACAGAGGCAAACACTATTACAAGCACAACACTGCCATATCACTAGCACCAAATACCAGGTTACAGATTAAAGCATAGACAAGTGAGAAGAGCAGGTGGGGGTAGGTGAACAGGAATACAGCCTAGACCAAGGAAAGATTTGGCTGAAGATAATCTTATATATACACTTGTACTAAAAAAATTAGCCACATACATTATAGAAGCAACAGAAGACAGGGTGGGAGTAACTATGCAGAGACAACCAAGCATCTTGTGAGAGAGAATCACCAGGCCTGGGGGGTTGGAAGCACAGTCTCAGGGGACATCATGCTCAATTGGCATGCATAGTTTATAAACATTTTGTTCTACAACCTAATCTGGTGATTAGTGGCTGGGATCCTAAAAACTTTCGAGCAGCCATCTAAGATACAACTATTGGTCTCCTCTCGGATGAAGCAAAGAAGAGTGCAGAAAATCAAGGTCATCTGGAAACAATCAGTCCAAAGATAAGATGGACTACAAGAAGCTCAGCCTCTATGACCTGAGACCAGAATAACTAGATAGTGCCCAGCTACCAATACCAACCACTCAGAAAGGGATCAAACCCAGAGATCCTGGATATAGTGCAAGGAAAAAGGTGGAACAGAATTCAAAAATTAAAAAATGACCAGAATTGCTGGTTGGATGGAGACTAGTGGAACCCTCAAGACTATGGTCCCAGGTTACCCTTCAATCTTGGAAATGAACTCACTTATGTGACTGGCTCTCAGCCCAATGATAGAAAGACCCATATACAGAATACCTACCCCAGGTCAATGCACCCACCTACTCTAGTGAGATGCACCCCTTGGATCCAGCAGCCATGGGACACAGAGGGATAGCATTCACATAGATGGAAGGAAAGCATGAATGAGAGGGGCACAGGGAAGGGGTGGTCACAGGGAGAGAGGGGAAGAGAGTTTCTTACAGTTGGGGATGGTAATTGGGGCCAAGAGACCAGATGTGCATGAACTGTTGAAAGTAAACCAAGTTTGCTATGTAAATTTGCACCCAAAGCACAATTTAAAAAAAAAGAAAAAAAAAAAACCTCTTATGTACAATAATGTTTCATATTATTTTGAAAAAAAAAAAAAAAAAAAAACCTCGTATTGAAGGAAGAAGTCGAAACTGCACTGAAGGAATTGGCGAAAAACAAGGCTCCAGGAACTGACAAGATACCCACTGAGATGTTTCAACAAATAGATGCAGCATTAGAGGCACTTACTCGTCTCTGCCAAGAAATTTGGAGGACAGCTACCTGGCTAACTGAAGAGATCCATATTTGTACCAATTCCAAAGAAAGGTGATTCCACAGAATGTGGAAATTATCAAACAATATCATTAACATCACATGCCAAGTAAAATCTTGCTGAAGATAATTCAAAAATGGTTGCAGCAGTATATTGACAGGAACTTCCAGAAATGCAAGCTGGATTCAGAAAAGGACATGGAACAAGAGATATCGTTGCTGATGTCAGATGGATTTTGGCTCAAAGCAAAGAATACCAGAAAGATGTTTACTTGTGTTTTATTGACTATGAAAAAGCATTCGATTGTGTAGATCATAACAAATATGGATAACATCAAGAAGAATGGGAATTCCAGAACACTTAATTGTGCTCATGAGGGACCTGTACATGGACCAGGAGGCTGTCGTTCAAACAGAAAAAGGGGATACTGCATGGTTTAAAATCAAGAAGGGAGTGCATCAGGGTTGTATCCCTTCACCAAACTTATTCAATCTGTACGCTGAGCAAATAATCCGAGAAGCCAGACTATATGGAGAAGAATGAGGCATCAGGATTGGAGGAAGACTCACTAACAACCTGCGGTATGCAGATGACACAACCTTGCTTGCTGAAAGTGAAAATGACTCAAACCACTTACTGATGAAGATTAAAGACTAAGTCTGCAGTATGGATTACATCTCAACATAAAGAAAACGAAAATCCTCACAACTGGGCCAATGAGCAGCATTACGATAAATGGAGAAAAGATTGACGTTGTCAAAGATTTCATATTACTTGGTTCCACAAACAACACCAATGGAAGCAGCAGTCAAGAAATCAGACGATGTATTGTTCTGGGCAAATCTGCTGTAAAAGACCTCTTTAAAGTGATGAAGAGCAAAGATGTCTCTTTGAAGACTGCAGTGCACCTAACCCAAGCCATGGTATTTTCAATAGGGCTCTGGTGTTGTAGTGCCTAAGGCATTTGACTGCTAACCAGAAGGCTGGCAGTTCAAACCCACCAGCCACTCTGTGGAAGGAAGACTGGGCAATCTACTTCTGTAAAAATTTACTGCCTCAGAAACCCAAACTATGAGTCTGAATTGATTTGATGGCAGTGAGTTTGTTTTTGGTTTTTGTAATATGCATGTGAAAATTGAACAATGAATAAGGAGGACCACAAAAGAGTTGATGCTTTTGAGTTGTGCTGTTGGTGAAGGATACTAAAAATACCGTGGACTGCTGGAAGAACTAACAAATCTGTCCTGGAGGAAGTGCAGCAGGAGTGCTCCTTGGAAGCAAGATGACCAGACCTTGTCTCATCTACTTTGGTCATGTTGTCAGAAGGGACCATTCCATGGAGAAGGATATCATGTTTGGTAAAGTGGAGGGTCAGTGAAAAGGGGAAGGCCCTCAATGAGATGGACTGACACAGTGGCTGCAACAATAGGCTCAGATATAGCAAGGATTATGAGGCTGGTCCCTGACCAGGCAGTGTTTCATTCTGTTGTACATAAAGTCACTATGAGTTGGAGCCAACCTGACAGCACCTTAACAAAAGCAGCAACAATAATGCTCTCTGTGATGTTACATATGTTCAAGTGACCCCTCCAGCAACCAAGCTTGCCAAATGCTGAGTATCTCTAGCGTAGCCTTTCAATGTCTGCTTTCATGAGAGAGATCTTAGCTCCCTACTAGTCTGATTTCTTGAGGGTAGTACTCAGACAACTCCCACTGATTAAATTAAGTGCATGAATTAAAAAGATAAAAATAACAATATTCAGTGTTGGTAAGGATACAGTGAAATGGGCAATCTTATGCATTTCAGGTGGGAACATGAATCAGAACAACTTTTCTAGAAAGTAATTTGATCGTAAAAAAACACCCAAACCCATTGTTGGCAAGTCAATTCCAACTCATGGCAGCACCATGTGTTACAGAGTGGAACTGCCCCATAGTGTTTTCTTCGCTATTATCTTTATGGAAGTAGGCTTTTTCACTGCGGTGCTGCTAGGTGGTTTCAAACCATCCATCTTTTGACTAATAGTCAAATGCAACTCATTTGCACCAACCAGGGAGCTTTTTTGATAATGTTTGATAATATGAGCTTTAAAATGACTTTGTGCTGCCCTGAGTCAGATTCCACAAGTAAGGAATCAGAAATAATCAGGATAAAACATCCATCATTTATTAGTAGCAAAAAATAATAAGAAACTGCCCAAAATGTAAAGAACAGGGAGATGGTCAGAGTTCAGCCATGGTGAGGACCCTCAACTACAGTTCTTATAGTCATGATTTCTAAAATGAGACATATGAAGGATTGTGAAAATGTGTCATAATGTTAAAAGAACAAGGCATGAAATTATAAATGCAGTGTAGTCTCAACTGTGTAAAAACTGTATGCAAACAGAAGATGGAAAAAAACACATCAAAATGTGAACTGTGATTGAGATGCGGGTAGATTTTCCCTCTTCTTCTTACTTTATGGTATTTTCTATAATGAACATGTAATAGTTTTATAATAAGAAAAATTAATATTTGAAAATGGAGCTGATGTGAAATTTGGTGCCTTGCACAGGTAATGCCATGGTCCTGGAGGCAGATATTATAGTAGAAGGGCTCAATACGGCCAATGAGACGGGGGTCCCCATCATGGCACACCCCCCAGCCATCTACAGTGACAACACGCTGCAGCAGTGGCTACAGACTGTGCTGGCCTCTTCCCAGAAGGGTAAGGGTTCCTCCACAGCCCCCTTTCCAGCCCCCCCAGTCCTCTGGTCCTCAGCACCAAAACAGGGATCCCACCACTGGGAGGCCAGTCTGATTCTTGCCATAACTTGTCCATTGCCTTGGCTTTCCTATATCAAGTACCAGACAGTGAAGACTAGGTGAGACAAGGATGTGAAAGGGCACATTCAGGGTGTTCTCTCCTGGGTGCATAGGTAAGATGTAGATGTGAAAGTGCAAGGTAAACTGCCAAATGCCAAACACGTTCAGGGTGTTCCCTCCTCACTGGCTTCCTGTATCCAAAGTTAGATCTTCTAGCTTTCCCCACAACTACCACCACCATCACCACCACACACATACACCCCTAAGAAATCTTTCCAAAGTGCCAATTTTATCATGCCACCCCCCTGCCCTGACCCTCCATGGTGCCCCTCCCCATTGCCCTCAGGACAAAGGGTTATCTCTTTGGCCAAGCTCTCCACATCCTTCTATAACTTTCCAACCTGATCTCCCACCATTTCCTGCATCCTCATCTCCTCACCATCCTGAAAAGGATGTCTATGTGCCCATTTCTGGGCCTTTGTTCATGATGGGTTCTTCCTCTAACTAGATTGCCCTTCTCTACTACAGGACACTCCTCTACTCAAATGTCCCTTCCCAGTGGCCAAATGACCTTCCTACATGCTGTGGTGGTTTAGGGCACTCTGGGCCTGTCTAGGAATCATAGCCCTTTTTCATCAGATGCTTGGCTCCCAGCCACCCACCCATCCCCTGCCCCTGCACTAGCCCCACAAAGACCTAAGTTCTTAGTTGGCCTCTGCTTCCTCACCTCTGGGAATGGAACTCACTCACTCTAGAGGTGAACCCTTCCTCTCTAGGATAAGCCAGAAAACCAAACTTACTGCCATTGAGTTGATTCCGACTCATAGCAACCCTCTTTGGGTTTGTGAGGTGGTAAACCTTTATGGAAGTAGATTGCCCAGTCTTCCTTCCACAGAGTGGCTGGTGGGTTTGAACCACCAACCTTCTGGTTAGCAGTCAAGTGCCTTAGGCACGATGCCACCAGAGCTCCCTATCCTGTCAAGGAAGGCCTGTTTGAAAGCTTTCCTCACACCCAGCTAGATATGGTTCCTGTCCCTCCAGTCCACACTACACACACATACCTGCTCTCTCTGCCCCAGGAAGTCATGTGTTCCTGGTTCCTTTTTCCTCCAGCACCAGGGGCACTGACCAAGCCCTCACCTTCCTCTCACAGGCATCAAACTGGACTTCAAGAGCCTCAAGGCTGTAGGCCCCTCTCTGGACCTCCTGCGGTGGCACACAGAGAACGGGAGAGTCCGGAGGCCTGTGTGGATCAACGCCGACATCCTGAGGGGCCCCAATGTGCCCATCTCAGTCGAGGTCAATGCCACAAGGTCAGTGTCTGCTTCTCTGCCCCAGCCGTGTCACCATCCTTCAACATCTGGCACAGGAAGTGCTAGGAGGACCTTTGCTGAGTTTGCCTCAAGTCACACCATGTAGTCTCACTTTGAGCCTTTGCACATGCAGTTTCTTCTCTCTTGGATGCCTTTCCTCCATTTCCTGATGAACTGCTCCCCAGTTATTACCTCCTGAAAACTTCCCTGACATTCCAGTTTGCATAAAGGACTTTCTGCAGGTCCTTCAGCTCTACACTTCCTTCTGAAACAACCCTGATTCACTCACTGGGTGGTCCCCATTGGTTTACAAGTTTGTGGCCCCTAATGCTGTAGACCCCATAAGGGCAGACAGGGCCAAATCCTCTCTGTATCCCTATTAACCACCACAAGGCTTGACTTGCTAGAAATGTTGATTTCCTCCTTAGCCCCTTGAAATCCCAGCAGGGCCACGACTCGCCCTCAGACACACAGGCTGTACAGCGCTCTACCGTTTACAAGGAAGATACACACAAAAGCAGAGTTTGCAACTGATTTGATCCTTACATAGCCAGGATAGGGGTATTTTCTTCTCCCCATTTTATAGGTAAGAAAGCTGACAAAAATTGTGGCTCACTTTGTTGAATATTTATTATATGTCTCAGGCACTATTTGCAGCACTTGACATGCAGTATATCATTTAGTTCTCACAATGAGAATGAGGTAGGTACCATTATCTTGATTTTATTAATACAGCAGCTATCTCATTGAAGTGAAATGACCGCCTAAGTCTAGTAAAGAGCCCCTGGATGGGGTGAATGGTTAAATGCTGAACTACCAACCTAAAAGTTGGAGGTTAAAACCCACCCAAAGACATCTGGGAAGCCCTGGAGACCTGCCTCTGAAAGGTCACAGCCTTGAAAATCCTATGGACCCGTTCTATGGTGCACACATGGGGTCGCCGTGAGTCAGAATTGACTCAACAGCAACTAACAAAAAAAAAGTCTAGTAAGTGATAGAGCAAAGATTCAAAACCAGGCCTTTCTGATTCTAAGTCCCACGCTCTTTACCATCCTCTCTCCATCTGTCTGTCCATCCACCCTGACAGCAATCTGTCCAGCCAGTATTTATTATGTTTCTCAAGCTGAGGTTCATTTGGAAAGTAGGAGTTTGAAAGAATGTAGTCAATAGCCCAAGGTAAACGTGGATTGTCTTCTTGGAGTGCTAAATTTACTCATCAGTGTTTGGGGGGTAACATTATTTTCCTATTAAAAATTTGCATCATGGCAAAGTTGGAATGAAATAAAAAATTAAAATATCAAACCTCAGAGAGTCCAACAGCTGAGAGAGCCCGGATCTGCATACCCTGGGGCCCTGGGTTCAATCTCCTCTGGCCATAGGGGATGTCTGGGGAGCCCTGACCTGTCTGAAGGCATGCCGTCTTTGAGAATCAAATGGGTCTCAAGTGACATACTGAAAGTCACGTAGTCAGGACCTAAACCCAGTCCTCCTTGTTTCCAAAGGCCATGCCCTATTTGTGGAACCTTGAACAAGCCACTTCTGTTCTTTAGGACTCTACTTCTATGCTTATATCAGAGATTCCACAGGCTCTGCCCTGTCCTAGCACCATGTGGGAACCCAAGAGAAGAAAAGGAGCCAGCTAAGGAGCCAGCTTGGCCCTGAATGACCTGCATCTCTGACTCTCTACAGGTTCCTGGCCCTGGTCCAAGAGAAGTATCCTGAGGCCACTCTGTCTCCTGGCTGGACCACACTCTACATGCCTCTGACCCCAAACAGGACGTATACACGTGCTATGGTGGAGGAGATGCAAGGACTGGTGGGAGTGCTGCCACAGAAAGTCACCTTCCCTGTGCGGGCTGTCATGGTGCGGGCTGCCTGGCCACACTTCAGCTGGCTGCTGGGACAATCTGAGAGGTGAAAACTCCCAGACCCCAGCCACAGCCTCCCTCCAAACCTGCCCCCACTTCCCAAGTTCATGTCTCCCAGAAAGATCCCAAATGCTCACGGCTGAAAAAAAAAAAAAAAAAACTCACTGCCATCAAGTTGTTTCAAGCTCACAGCAACCCCCACTGGTTTCCAAGGCTGTAAATCTTTACAGAAGTAGATCACTCAGTCTTCCTTCCACAGAGCAGCTGGTGGATTTGAGCCACTGACCTTCCAGTTAGCAGTCAACTGCCTTACCCACTACACCACGAGAGCTCCTGGTCTAACCCCCACTGCTGCTCACACCCTCAACAATAGTTTTTGCTTGTGCACCTCCAGTGATGGGCTGCTCACCACCTCTTGTGACAGCCTTTACACTGGTGGCAATTCTCTGCCTGCTGGGTAGTGTTTCTACTGAGACACAATTTGCCTCCTTACAGCTTCCTCCCATGAGAGCCAGCTGCCCCCCTCAGACTACACAGATTGTGCTTATAGTTTGCCTCAGGACAGCCCTGTCCCAGAATAACTCTATCCTAGGACAGCCCTGTAGAGATTCAGGACAGCCCTACCTACTCAGCTTCAAGTTGCCCAGCTCCAGCTTCCTCAGCTACTCCCCACAGGTGTCCCAAAGCTGCCTCCTTCTCCTCTCCATGTCTGACACCACCCTCTCCCTCTTCTGTACTTGTACCTTTCCTAAGACAGGACCCACAAACAGACATGGACCAAGTCAGGAGGCAGGGCAAACCAACCTTCCCTCTGTTTGGGGCCTTGCTTTCAATCACCATTCTTGAACCCCCTTGGGCTTCCTCTGCCCCAGGAAGGAGGTGGTGCTCAGGGAGAAGTAGCTGGTCCAGGCTGGAGGGCAGATACTCCACCCCTGCTCTGGGCCTGGCTGAGGTCCAATTCTGTGTACAGGGAAAGGGGATGTTGAGAGCTCTACTGGGCCCAGGCAGGTGGCTGAGCCATCTCTCCGGGCTGCAGGTACAGTCTGACGCTGTGGCAGGGTGCTTTGGATCCTGTGTCAGTGGACGATCTCCTCTACATCCGGGACAACAGTGCCACCCACCAAATCTACTATGACCTCTTTGAGCCTGTTCTGTCCCAGTTCAAGCAGCTTGCTGGTAGGGGCAAGGGGGAGGGGGGAGGTAAGGGGCGGATTCTGCAGCAGGTGTGGTGCTTGGTGGACACGGGAGCAGAGCTGGCAAGGGGAAGCACATTGGAAGGGGGAATTCTGGTGGGAGAGAAGAAAGGAGTCATTTACTCCTTTCTCCATGTGTTGGGAGCTCTGGTAGTGTAGTGCCCAAGGCACTTGACTGTTAACCAGAAAGCCGGCAGTCCAAACCCTCCAGCCACTCCTTAGAAGGAAGACTGTGCAAGCTACTTCCACAGAGATACTACCTCAGAAACCCAAGGAGGGGTTGTTATGAGTAGGAAATGACTCAACAGCAGTGAGTTTGGGTAGCATAGTGCCTAAGCCATTTGACTGTTAACAAGAAGGCTGGTAGTTCAAACTCACTAGCCACTCCTTGGAAAAAAAGTTGGGCAATCCACTTCCATAGTGATACAGCCTCGGAAACCCAAGGAGGGGTCTCTACACGAGTCGGATGTGCCTTGATGGCAGTGAGTTTTTGTTTTTTTGAGTGTGTACAAAAAGGAGCTCTAGTAGCACAGTGCCTGCAGCATCAGACTGCTAACCAGAAAGTTGGTGGTTCAAACCTACCAGCCACTATACAGAAGGAAGACTGGGCAATTTTGAGGTTTTTTTTTTCTTTTGACTGTATGCAAGACCCCAGGCTGGCACTGCCATGCATGGGATGTTGTTGTTGTTGTTGTTGTTATGTGCCGTTGAGTCAGCCCCGACTCATAGCAACCCCTCCTTGGGTTGCTGATGCAGTATCACTACGGAAGTAGATTGCCCAACCTTCCTTCCGAGGAGTGGCTGGTGGGTTTGAACCATCAGCCTTCTGATTAGCAGTCAAGTGCCTTAGGCACTAAGCTTCATATATCCATGAAGCAGGAATTCCACTTTATGGACAGGAAAATGGAGTCAGAAAAGTTAAATAATTTATGCAAAGTCATCCAGCTTGTGAGTGACACAGCTCAGGTTGGAACCCAGCAAATTTCAGACTGACTGACTCAGAGAAGCAGCTCCCTCCTCTTCCGTTGCCCAAACCCCTCATTCCCTTAACCCTGAACCTAAAAGAGCCTGCAATTAAGCCATCTCAAAGGGACCCCAACAGGCTCAATATTCTCTAACTTTCCAGGGAGGTACATAAATGAGGGGGAAGGATGCCAGCTCCAGGGCCAGAGACACCTGGTTCCATCAGGTTTCAATCCCAGTGACTCTACTTACTGGCAGTAGGACCTTTGGCAAGTCTCTTTAATTTATAAAACTTGTAATTTATGAAACGGGAAACAACAGCTAGCTGGCAGGTTGCAGTGAGGCTTAGAAAGAATGTGTACAGCATCCTGGACAATGGAAGGTGCCCGTGAATGGTAGCCACTTCATCTTGACAATTTGGGGCCCCACAGCGAATGCCACCCGGAAGCAAATCTACTACACAGGGGGCAGCTTGATCCCTCTCCTCCAACTCCCCGGGAGTGACGGTCTGGGTGTGGAGTGGCTGGTTCCTGGCATCCAGGGCAATGGAAGAACAGCAACAGTTATACTCCCAGGTACAGTCTGCTTGCAGCCCCTGTGCTCCTGGTTGAACAGCTCTGTTTCCTTTACTTGGGGTAGGTACCGCGGGTCTCTGTTACCATGGCAACATGGGCCAATTTAAGCCACATGCTGGATGCAGGCGGGAACAGGGTGCAGGGAGGGAGGGAATACAGTGGTGCCAAGAACATGGGGCTCCTGGCCTTCATGTGCCCTTCAGCCCTCAGCCAAACTGCAGGAGAGACAGGCATGAGCCCCAGGGTCAAGTCACGGTAGAAGCCAAGAGCTGAACTAGCGGTGTATCATGCCATTCTGATGAGTACCAGACACATTTATAAGGCAATCCTTCCACCTGGAGCTCAGAACTGGTCGACCGATTCCAGGCAGTTGAGCATCAAGGAACCTGCTCCTTTTCCATGGTGGTCCTCATAGTCCCCCCCACTCCCCCTTTGACAAAGGCCTCTGGCACCCCCATGAGAACTTAACCCAAGACACTGTTGCTTTTGCTGCCTCTTCTAGACAGAGAAGGCATGATCCTGCTGAACATTGGTCTCCAGGAACCTGTAGCTGGGGACCCCGTGCCCGTCGTACAAGTCCCAGGGGGCTCTGTCCTGATGCTGGAGTCATGCCTGCTGCAGCTTGCCATGCGCCCTGGACGCTGGGGCATCCACTTGCACATAATAGAGCCCACAGCCCTCCAGCCATCCCTGGCCATGCTGGCCCACCTCTCTACCCTGGGCCACCTGCTTCGTCCTGTGTGGGTCGGGGCCACACTCTCCCATGGAAGTTTTGAAGTCCCTGGCCGCATGGCCGGCAGGGAGTTTCTTACAGCCGTGGCTGAGGTCTTCCCCCACGTGACCATGGCCCCAGGCTGGCCTGAGGAGGTGCTGGGCAGTGGCTATGGGGAACAGCTGGTCACAGACATGCTGGAGCTGTTCCAGGGGCTCTGGCAACCTGTGTCCTTCCAGCTGCAGGCAGGGCTGCTGGGCCAGAGCATGGCTGGAGCTGTGACAAGGCTGCTGGCAGCCTCCCCCCGGGCCACGATCACAGTGGAGCATAGCCCTGCCAGGGGCAACTATGCAGCTGTGCGGGAAGGGCTGCTGGCAGCCAGGGCAGTGGACAAAACCCGGGTCTACTACAGGCTGCCCCAGGATTTCCGAGGGGACTTGCTGGCAGATGTTGGCAGAAACTGACCATCCAGGGCCACTGGGCCAGCAGATCCCAGGGTCAAGGCTTCCCATGGAAGAAAAGGAAGGAATAAATCTTTGACTTCATCCACACTCTGCACATGTGTCCTTGGGACAGGATGGAGGTGAATGGGCACTGAGGTGCCTAGAGGGTCTGGAGGCTGGGGGCCACCATGTCACTGCGGTTGTCCAAGAGGAACTGCTCACAAGCCTTGAAAGTGGTGTAGAACTCAGAGGAGAGGCCAGCCACATTGGTGGTCACATAGTTGAGAAAGCCAGTGGTGGCCTGGTTGTAGTAGGAAACCTGCAGGACAAAATACCACACTCAGGGAGGCTAAACGCAGGAGGGGGTCACTGCAGAGGGGCAGGACCCAAGTGGGCATGAGGCAGATGGGGTTGCCCTTGCTCACCTTCTAGGAGGGGAAAAAGTACAACCCAGCCCCCAGCACCCCAGAGTTAGAAGTTGGAGAGAAGGCTGCACCATTAGCAGGTGTGACCTCTTCTTGCCAGTTGCCTGAGACCTGTCCTCAGGGTGCTGACAACTCTAGCTGCCTTCTGTCACTACCCATCATAGAGGAGGGAAGGGCCTCAGTTTGCTGTCTCTGGAACTCAGCACTGAATCTTATTTAAATGAAGGTGGCTCAGGAACTCTGGTGGCCCAGTGCCTAAGGCATTTGACTGCTAACTAGAAGGCAGGTGGTTCAAACCCACCAGCCGCTCCTCCAAAGGAAGATTGGGCAATCTACTTCCATAGAGATACTGCCTCGGAAACCCAAGGAAGGATCACTATGAGTTGGATCCAACTTGATGCCAATGAGTTGTTTTTTTTCCTGGGGCCATAGAGCCGCACCCTCGGAGGTGAGCCCAGGGATCACTTGAGAAGCTCATCAGCTTGAGTGTATTCATTTAGCAAGTGCTGGCTAAGTCCCTGGAGGTCCTGGTTAATGCACTCAGCTGTTAACTGAAAGGTTGGAGGTTCAAGTCCATCCAGGGGCATCTTGGAGGAAAGGCCTGAGGATCTACTTCCGAAAAATCAGCCACTGAAAACACTTTGGAGCATAGATCTGCCGTGACACACATGGAGCTGCCATGAGTTGGAATTCACTCAGTGGCAACTGGTTTCATTGTTTTTTTTTGATGAGTCCCTGCCTGGATAAGTCTTAGCACTAGAGTAGGGGCTACAGGGCCATAACAAACTCTGAGCCGAAATAAGGGACCTGCGGTATCCCCACCCTTGCCTTCTCTCAGCCTTTTCCCCACATTTTCAATTAACACAGACTGCCCTGATGAATTTTATGGATCCTCAGAGCCATGTAATGTTTATGAATCCTCAGAGCCATAGAAAGCCTTCCTAGACAAGAAGGGGGATATATGTAAATAAATAGATGGGATTTTAGATCAGAACCCAGGCCTTCTGCCCTCCAGAGCATCTAGAGCTTTCTCCAAGACCCCTCTGTGGCCTCTGACTTCTCTCTGCACAGATGAGATCTTGATAAAGGCTCAGTTTTGGCCCCAGACACTCCCAGGCTCCCCAGGCTAGAAGAGGGAACCTGCTGGGGTGTGTGTGTGTGGGGGGGTGGCTGAGCTCAGGACTCACGGGTGCTGTCATGTGTCAGGGTAGAGCTGGGCTGCTGGGTGTGAGGGAAGGAGAGGGGTACTGGGTCTCACCTTGGTGAACTGATCCCCCTCACACCAGAGGCAGAAGCCTGAGCAGAGGGTCTCCCCACGCTTGTATTCCAGTGTCTCACAGTGCGTGGGAAGTGTGACTGACCTCAGTGCAATGACGTACGGGTCCCTGTAGCAGCAGAAGGGTGGAGGATGGGCAGGGATTAGCTATACAAAGTCAGGGTCGATTCTGTCCAGCAAAGACCCAGGTTTTGGCCCTGTCCCCAGGCCCTGGAGCCTGCCCTCTGGCACTGATGCCCTCCCTCAGGGTCTTAAAACATAGAACTCTTAATGCCTGGGCCTGGAGAGGGGATGTCTGTGGGTGAGTATCACCGAATTCACCAGGAGCCAGAGGGGTTCTGGAACAGCCCCTCCACTTCAGATGCTCAGGGCAAGAGCTGTGTGTTTGAGGGTATTAATTTATTCCTCGTGTTTTGGCCCATCTCTAAAGGAAGTGAAGCTGTCTGCACTGGCATTCCACCCATGGCACAGTGGGCAGGCTCATCATCCTCCGGTCAAAATGGGATTCTCAGAGCACAGAAGCCAAGGAAAAGGGTACATGATAAATACCCGTCCATGGTCTAGGTAAGGTAGACTCGACCATACCAGGGACAGAGATGACCCTACTTTAGAGCATGAGCGAATGGAAGGGAGGTGGGTGCTTCTGTCCCCATTTTATCCACAGTTAAGCCACGACAGCTTGGAGGGGTCTGGCATGGTATCTGGGGTCCCACGCCAAAGTAGAGCTCTGGAGATGAAGATGAGCCCTCCCGCTTCCCCTGCTGTGTCCCTCAGCAGGCAGGCACCCACCCGTTGTCACAAGGCTTCCGCCGCGAGGCCAGGATCACAAAGTCCTGGGGTTTGGCATCACTGGTGAGGGCAGGGCTGATGACATGATAGATGGCATCGTCCTCATCCACCTGCTGCACTAGCTCTGCACTCCTGCAGAGAAGCCAAGAGCTCAGGGTCCAAGGGGGTCACCCAGCTCCTTGTAGGAGCAACAGGTCCCTCCCATGCTTCAGCCTCTCTGAACATCTTCTGTGGTGACACTTCGTCCCTTGCCCTGGTCAGAAGGGACCAGTAGGAGGGCAGGAAGTCCCAGTTGAGGTGAGGATACACAAACAGAGACACACGCACAAGCAAATGCATACACACGTAGACAGAGACCAGACTCAGACATCTAGAGACACATGCACATAGGTGGGCACACACATGCAGACTCACGGAGACACACACCGGCACACACACAGATCCATGTGTGCCTATGTATGACTGGACACGGGTACCTGCCCCACACACGTGTGACAATTTAGTCCTTGCACTTAAAATTTACTAAGTGCCCTGGTATGCCAGGCACTGCTCCAAGTGCTTTATGTTTAACCTCAAGAGTGCCCAGTGTGGCCAAGTACTCTTATTATCCCCGTTTTATAGATTAGGAGGCTGACTCAGGGATGGAGCTGCCCACAGTCACAAAGCCAATAAGAAAGCAGAGCCAGGGCTTGTGCTCAGGTTGTCAAGTGCCAGCGCTGTGCTCCAGGCCCAGGCACACAGCAGGTACATGCCCAGGTGTACACATACAGGTTTATGCCAGTTCTGAGGCACACACAAAGGGCATAAACACAAAGATCTGCATGGCCATGTCCAGACTTGCCACCTTTTCCCCAACTCTTCAACCCTTCTTTGATGTCTGGATAGGGTGGAGGGCACCCATCTAGGGGCTCCCTTTCTCCTCAGCTGCTCCCACCTCAACCAACCCTATCAAGTATCAAATCTGATCTTGGCCTTCAATGCCCACACAGGTCTACTTCCTCCAAGAGGCTTCCTACCACATGCAACCCTCCGTCCACATCCATCAGCAAATAATCTCTCAGGCTCCTAGAATGCACCCTCATGGGGGCCTGTGGTCACCTAGACTAGAACTTACCTTTCTGCAAACATTAGGCAGAAAGCCTGTGTAGATACAGCTATAAGTGGGCCTGCTCTGGTGAAGATAGATGGGGTAAGAAGCAAGAGGTCAATCTGCCAAAAAATCAACCTGCCAAATGACCAGCTCACTGAATTTCCAAATACTCTTATCTCCCTTATGGATGCTCAGGAATACTGTCTCCTTATAAATGAGCCTTCAAGAAATGATCAAAGAACCCCTAAAAGCCAGGGTGTTGGCATAACAGAAAATGACTTCAACAGTGATTTGAGAAAAGTATCTGCTTAAACTTAAAAATTCCCATATTAAACACTGAAATTTTGGCTATTTTCCTAAGAACATATTTATTTTCCCTGACTAAGTTCAAGAAGATATTCATATGAGGAATCAGTAAGTCTGGGGAACAAATGTATTCACAAGAAGAACACATTTCTATTCATAGTCAATGACTATATTGAAAAACAAGACATTCATTTACATATTCATAACAATTCAGTACATTGGCCATTCTATCACTTGTCCTCAATGTCGGAGGGGGTCCTAAAGCCCTGCTCACTCTCAATGGCCCCATCCACCAGCAGTTCCTGAGCCCCCTTTGGAAACTCAGGACTCCACAGACCATGGTTTGAAAATCACTGATCTTTCTCTGAGTTCAAGTGCACAACCCACGTCCCAAGGACCCAGACCCTCACCGGTAGTGCTTGTCCCACTCAGGCCTCCGGTGCAGGTCCGAGAGCAGCTGGAAGGCCTGGGCTGCATCCACATTCACCACCATTTCCACGTGGAAGGAAAGGAACTTGTCGTCCTCCAGGATATAAAGGCGCACCTGCATCAGACAGAGGACAGCCTCCTTCCTGCACCTCTCCCCAGACTATGCCAGGAGGTAGGGTGGGCTACCTGAGACACTGGAGCCTGGGGCTTGAAGCTCAGGGCTGCCATTGGCTTGCAGTGTGAGTGTGAACCAGTGATTCAACCTCTCTGAACCTCAGTAGCATACCAATAAAGAAATGAGAGAATTTAGGACAACTGGACAGGAAAGTGTCTTGAGAAGCAGCAACTGAGGCAATACCACAATGGATCCTCAAAATCAGGTGTCCACCGCATAATGTGGATGAACTTGGAGGACATTATGCTGAGTGAAATAAGTCAATCACAAAAGGACAAATATTGTATTGGTCCGTTATTGTAAAAGTTAAGGAAAGATTTATCTATAGAAGGAAATTTTCTTTGTTGGTTACCAGGGGTGGGAAGGGAGGGGTGGGAAGGCTGTTAGATAGATAGAGGTAAGTATTGATTTGGGTGAAGAGAAGGGCAATGTACCAAATGTGAGTGACCAATATGGCAGCATTGAGGATAAGAAAGACATAGAGAGGTACATGGGAGGTACAGACAACAAATATGAACCCTTTTGTACATA